ATAATAATAAAATTTGGGGTCCTTACCTCATTGTCATGGAGCAGTCACAATTTTTACTTTACTTTATTTTATTTTATTCCCAGAAATATTTATTAGTATTTATTTTGTATAATTATATTTTTATGTTATATATATTTTACAAACCCCAATTATTTTCTCTGTGATCGATTGCGACCACCTTTTTTGCCGTCCCGCAAAACTCTCAATGACCCCCTAAAATAAACCGACTAGGTTCGATTTCGCAAGACTTCCAAAATCGTCGAGTCAGCACAAAGTTCATTAGTTTTTAACTTAATTGTTATGAAACTATGAAATGCATTCTCTACGATTTAAAAGTATTTCGAAATCGACCTACTATTCAGAAATAATTTAACATACAGGATGTTAAATTATTTACTGAGCCGAATGAAAATAAATTAATTCAATTTAAGGAATAATTGTGACAATACATATGATGACAAAATTTGAAATATAAGGAGAAGCGAAGTTGATTTAAAAAATGAATTGAATTTTTTTTATGATTGTTAAATCAGATGAAGGAAGATGAGTTTGTTTGATAGCGATTTTAATTAAAAATTTGGAGTGTTATTAATAAATTGCAATCTGAAACGTTGTTTATAGTTTTATTTTTGATATATTTCTTGCCCATAAACATGGCATATATTTATTCCGTAGCTCCAACAAATACGCAATTGTCTGACGATCCTTTGCTGTAATTTTTTTTGGGCTTTCCCAAAGTTCATCAATTAGAACGTCTTGTGCCAAAGAATGTTTAATTGCTTTTAAATATTTACTGGAAAATTCAGAATCTGAAGCAATCTACGTAATTATTTTTGCAAAAAACGTATAGGTAACTGATAATTAATCCTTTTACCACATTTCAATTGCATCATTATTTCATAATCCAGAGTAACCTATAGGTAGATGACATCTTGTTTATAATGTTTACAACATATAACGATAAATATTAATATTAAAACATAATGTATGAATATGAATCACATAATATATGTATGATAATAAAAATTAACAAAACGTCAAATATATCAAAATTTTCAAAGAATGGAACAGAGTAAAACAACATACAACAGCCAAAATCAGAATCTCTTATGTGTCAACCGTTATTGAACCATATGCCTCCGACTGGTTCAAAAATTCTAGCTTTGGTTTAAAATATTTCGTACGTGACGTCATAGTTGCATCGCTAAATTTTAAACGGTTTAAAAAAGTCGAAAATATTTTAAACCAAACACTCGCTAAAAAATACCTTTAAACTTATTTCAACGTGACGTCATTGTTTGGTCACTCGAATGGGAATAGTTCAAACCGTTTTCGAACCGCATGAAATATATTTAAACCAGTGGACCGCTCGAATATGGCTTAAGTTTTCATGAAAGAAAGGCCATTTTCATTAATTAAATTTCTTGTTTTCAAAAAATCGTGGGAAATGGGTATCGTTGAAATTAGAATTTCTCAAGAAAGGTTTGATTATCTCTTTTGCAAATTGAAAATAATTTGGCGAGATATATTGATAAGAATAAAGCCTTCTATATCTTTCTAAGAAAAGCTAGATAAAGTATTTTTATATATTATATTGTTTTTTTTATTGCCGCAATATTAACAATTTAGTTAAACAATCAAAGTAATTTTTATTATAAAAAAGGGAAACACATAGGGTCCGATTACATTTAGAACACAGCTAGCATAACTATTACTTCGAATTTCGAATACATATTATCAATAACTATCAAGAAATAAAAAATAAGTATAAAACAATATTTCCTATATTCCTATAATATTAACACTCTACTAAACCCCCAGTAGGCGGCGATGGCTAATTGCCAAGTGACCCTAGGGTGTCCGATAACAATTAGAAGAAAACAGGTACGTCATCAATTGGCGGAGTAATTTGCCACCTACTGGGGGTTTAGTAACTTGTCAATAATATAGGAATACTATTTTTAATAATAATAATACTAGTAAATCGTCTTTATTAGAGGAAAAGAATGTATATAAGTTTACAATTCACATGGGAATATAAAAATAGAATAGAATTAATTTTTATGTTTTTTTTTATTTTGTCTACTTATATAAAGGTAAAAAATAGTAAATAAAAATTAAATAAAAAGTAAAAAACTAAAAAGGTCAATTAAATCTAAGCTCAAACAAAATTTTTTACGTAATATTTTTTAAAGTATTTTTTTGAATAAATTTAAATTTAATTTTTTTTAATTCTAAAGGAAGAGAGTTGTACAATTTAATTATATACAAAACTTCTTTTAAATAGGGCTGTTTGATGACGGGGTATTGTGTAAGTTGTGACGTCGCGGAGGTTACGATCATGAATTGTTTTGCGAGTGATAAACTGTTTAATTAGCGGGGAAGAGCTGTCAATCAATGCATTTTATTAATTTATGAAAATAGTTACCTAAATGGAGTGTCCTGCGTTCCTTCATATTAAGCCAATTTAATTCTCGTATTTTAAAAGCTACATGATCATATTTTCGAAGATTAACTATTAATTTTGTGTACGAAGTGTTCAAGTCTAAGCAGGACCCGTAGATAAAATCGCAAATAGTTTAATTTGGACAAAACGAGAGTTTCACAAAGTTTTATCCGTAGATTATGATTAAGAATATTCCTGCTGGAGTAAAGTAATTTTAAAGAAAGATAAGCTGAACGGGTAATTTTACCTACATGTTCTCTAAACCTTAAATCTGTATCTAAATATATACCTAGATTTCTAGCTGATTCAACAATTGGTAACTTGTTGTTATTAATATTAATATTAAATTGATTTTTAACATGTTCTTTTTTATTTTTTGAACAAAAAAAAACAGAACACAAGATTTCGATGCATTTAGTTTTAAATTGTGTTGGAAAGAAAGTTCATAAATAAGTTTAAAATCTTCATTAATAAGTTAATTAGCAGTTAAGGAATGATTGTTTTTAAAACTGTAATATAATTGTGTATCGTCAGCGTAGGCTTGGACTTTACAATTTTTTATGGAGTTGATAATGCAAGAAGTATAAATTAAGAAAAGGAGCGGTCCCAGGACGCTGCCTTGGGGAACACCAGATAAAATATTTATAGAATTCGAAAATGTATTATTGTAACAAACACTTTGAGACCTATTGCTTAAATATGATTTTATCAACGCAACTGCTGAATAATGAAAACCATAATATTTCAATTTTGATACCATCAACCTGTGATCGATGGTGTTAAACGCCTTAGAAAAATCTAAAAGTGTGAGTACAGTAATGTCTTCTTTATCATAAGCATCAATTATATCACTTGTTACAGTAGTTAGTGCTGTGGATGTGGAATAGCCTTTTCTAAAACCGCATTGGGTATTAGGAAGTATATCTGTCTTACAAGCATGTTCGTATATTTGTTTGTATAATACTTTTTCGAATATCTTGGATAGAGTTGGTAAGATACTTATTATTCTAAGATCAGAATGTTCGCGGATTAGATTTTTTAGGTAGTGGCCTGCCAATGGCAGTCCGCCACAAATATGGAAAATAACTTTTTAAACTAAACAACTAACATATTCTTTTTTTATTGATACTTATAAATGATATATATTGGAAATTCGAAATAATAGTTATGACGTAGCGGTGTTCTTCTAATTGTTTATCTCATACTTGACATTTTTATTTATACAGGGTGTTTAGTATATTCAACCGACAACGTTTTACGCCAGAGAGCTTTCGTTAATTGAATTTTGATATGGGACCATGAATCCTTCAAAATTTGCCAAAAATCATAGACGCGTTTGTATTTTTCTTGTCAAATACTCGAATTATTAAAAATTTGACACGAGCCTACTAGATTAGAATTTAGAAATATTCAGTGTAAATTATATATTTGTTGACTTCAGAAGCAAATTTTAACAATACTAAAAATAAACAGAGAATTAAAAAATCTATTTGTTCCAATAAAGTAAAAAGTATAGGGATTAAAATTGCCACTAACCCTGATAGCGCGCCAATGGTTAAATTTTTCAAAAGGTAGTTTATGCCTAAATTACCACATATTTTTAAGAGGCAATTTGTTATCAAATTTCAAAAAATATTTAAAGGCGTTTTTGATTAAGCAACATTTTGATTTTGATATTTTAACACCTAGTATCTTGATAACTACCTAAGCCCTTTACACAGTTTATAGCTAAAGAATCAGTTCGCTCACTCTGCGTCGGCACTTTTGATCTCAATGTTCCAGTTTATACACTGCGCAACTCGGATAATACAATATATGACAACCGCCTATATTCAAACAGCATTCTTCTGCGCATCCTGAATTTGTATCCCTGGAGTGGATATTATTTTGGAACATCCAATTGGTCCGAGTGAGCGAACTGATTCTTTTAAGCTATAAACTGTGCCCTTTAATCATGTTCCAATATCAGAATGTATTATTACACTGGTTTTTAGTATCGCAATTTATTTCAATTCAACTTTACAATAACTCAATTCAACTTTAAAAATAACGATACAACTGATAACATTAACATGTAACGTCTATCATAAAACTAGCTTGCCTCGACCTTCTACAACCTTCTCGAACAATCTGGACTTTTCTTTGACAAGGAATGACATTTCGAGACATTTTGGGAATATTCTATCTTCTTCATTTACTCGTACCTTTACTTGTGACGACCGCAGCACGCTGTAGAGGGATGAGTAACATTCCACTTCTTTTTCTATCTGTACGTTTCCTATAATAGCCGCAGGCTACTGCAGGGTGCTGCGTAACAGTATCAATCAACTAGAGCTCTCTGGGGGTAGATATAGTAATTTTTTGAACGGTATTCACCAGTCATGTGGATAATCAATAATTAATTAATTTGTTAGTTATGCTTTTAAAAATTTTATGTACTAAAATATCTATGTTTTTCTTTTATACATAATTTATGTTATTCATCTATTTTTATACAGTATAACTAGGTTCTCTTTTAAATATGTTCTGCTTTGATCGTACGACAATATGTGCCAAATTATAACAGTATGTCAAATTAACCTGTCTTTACAAAAAAAACAAACAGAAATACCAAACAATCAGTTTAGTTTGGAAATGAGCCATATTTATGAAAGATTTCCTATAGGATTTGTAAAAAAGAGACATTTTATACCTATACAAAAAAGTGCTTGCAAATGTAATAAAACATAAACATGCGAATAAAATGAATATTGGCAATTGACAAGATTCATAAATTTAAGACGCATTTTAAAAAATTGCTTGTCGAAAGCTTACCTACCATACCATTTAAATATGTATTTGGTAACAGAGGAGTTGGGCGAACAAGCAAAAATATGAACGACAATAAAAGAGGAAGATACAGTAGTTAAAAAGTACGGAAAATAATGGACAAGAGTGTAGTTATCGATCGAGAACCAATCACCGCTGACGCATTAATATAAAAGGCATTTAAGGTTGATAAATTATTATTAACCTCATTGAAACTCCCTCAGCAAAGCAAATCAAATCACGAATGTAATGTATGTAAATACCTACAAATTGTAATATACTTCGTAGAAACGTTCTTAACATTAAAAAGTCTGAATAACTAAAAAATTCGTTATAAAGCACCAATTAAATGACCATTCCAATTACCAGATCTTATACCTAATACAGTAAAATTGTTGTAAAGCAAGGGGTTGAAAAAATGGGGACATGCTGAATTTTTGATATTGAAATGAGAACCATTGAAAAACTAGGCTTTATTAAACTAGAAATGCGCTTGACATTAACGTGACAATGAACATAACTTTGACAAATATATAATAGGATGTATAAATAATAACAAGTTAAGTAGTCTGAGTAGACACCTCTGATTTAATGGATGCAATTCCAGTAGCTGTCCCACAAGGAGCTAGGTATCGATTAGATACGGTTATTTCTTTTCCATCAGATATATTGTTTCTGGGGTCTAAAAAGTAAAATTCCAAATGGGCGTATTCCCACCTTCTACGGAAACTCCATTGTTTTGATTTATCTCGATTCCTATTGGTTGTAGGGAAAAATTATAAGAATACAAAATGTAGAGCAAATTTTTTTGTCATAGACCCAACACGATATGCGCCGAAATTACCAAAAGTCAGTTTTTTCGCCTTCTGATTTTCATAAAGTGATTTTAAAGATTTTGAAAAGAAAACGTTAAGATCGCGAAAAAACCTGTACATTAGATTGCAATAGTACAGCAGTACATTCCTATAGAATTGGATATTCACTTTCTCTGAAAGATGTGTATTTTTTTAGCAATTTATTCCGTCACACCGATAGAGTACTTTTTAAATATTTATACTGGAAATACCTTATAATGATATACTTCAAAATTAAATTCTTTATGTGTATTGAACTTTCAGCCGTTGTAACTTGGAGACTGTTGAGATAAGTTGTTATTAATTCTAACGGTATTTACAGGTTTTTTTGAAAATATTTACAACTTTTCCATTTAAATTTTTTAGTTAAAATCACTTTTTGAAAGTCAAAATGCAGACAAACTGTTTTTTGACAACTTCGAAGCCCTCTAACTTTTTGAGAACAAACTACAGAGAAATTTGTGCTCTACTTTTTTCTCTCTGACTAATAGATATTGAAGTAAATCACATCCAAAAAGAAATTTAGAATGGTAGGGGACACACCAATTTTGAATTTTACCCCTAGAAACGACATATACAAAATTCAGACTGTTCCTAATTTTTTCGATTTCAAACGAAAATTTGATTGTATAATTAATACAAATTGATTTTACTTTTATTTATAATCTGAGCTGGGCTGAGCGAATCCTTGAATGAAAATCGAATTTCGGATATAACTGCTGTAGAGTTCCAGCATTGCACTGTAATTTAGAGATGGACACAGTAACAAATCAGTAAATGCACAGTACATTCCTATGAATCTAAACCAAATTGAATAGTTTATATATTTTTGTGAAGTTTCAAAAAGTTCTGAAGGTTTAAGGCTTAAACTAAAGAAAATTGAAGATCGGGTGTAACTGCTTTAGAGTTCCAGCATTGCACTGGAATTTAGAGATGAACACAGTAACAAATCAGTAAGTGTACAGTACATTCCTATAAATCTAAACCAAATGAATAGTTTATATGTTTTTGTGAAGCTTCAAAAAAGTTCTGAAGGTTTAAACCCTAAACTAAAGAAAATTTAAGTATGCATTTTAAGCATTAAACAAATTAAAAATACCTGATCAAATGCTGCGTTGTCTAAATTTGAACCTAAATATACTCGTTTAATTTTAACTAGATAAAATATATTTCAATACATTTTTCTTATTATGGTGTTTTTTAATTTTTTTTTATAGATTGTTGCAAGGCACATCCTTCTCTAACTTGTAAGGTAACTTTAAGGAACGGTGAACTATGGAAGAAATTTCACTCATTGGGTACAGAAATGATAATCACCAAATCTGGACGGTGAGTTAGAATATTTTTATTCAGTATTCAATTTAAAAAACGAATTATTTATTTTAAAGGTAATAATCACATTTAAAAATATGTAATTAAATTTGTTTTCTAAAGCCTCTTTAACGCCATTTAGAGAGTTATATTTTCAAAATCTTTAAAAAAATATTGAGTTGTCATCTAAGAAAGAAAAAAAAGGGCAGGTTTTTAAGAGGTAATATTTTAGGGGAGGTTTTTTAGTATAACTTTCTTTTATAGCTTACTAACAACTGTTTTCAACGATAGTTTAATAATTGTTTTATGTTATATCAAAGGATTTAAAAGCAGTGGCGTAGCGTATAGGGGACCCACGCCCTTTGCATTTAGAGGTTTGGACGCCCCAAAAAAGCTTCGTCTCCTTCGTCCTTTATCACTGCTTAGAAGGTATTAACTGTTATAAAATCTGGGACATTTTATACAAGGTCACACAAAGAATGCACAGTATGGTGATGTCGTATACGGTTAAATGTACATATTCGATTAAATGGGTCAAACGTTTTCTATTGCTGTAAAAACAAAGATGAGATGTGAAGAGATCTTATATATCCTGATTTCAAACTGTTCTTCTAATTTTGATAAAAAATCTCTTTTGAAAACTAAATAACATTAATAAACACACTACAAGTCGTTGAGAACAAATAATTAATACGATGTTCTATTTGTCAATAAAATGATGCATATGCAACTAACAATACAAGAAAGTAATACTGATTGCCTAGATGCCAGTAACGTTTTACCAAAGCACAATTTTATAAATAATAATCTGGTCAAAATTAAAAAAAATATTCTATGTAACATGTATGGTTTCTTAAATAGCTATTTTCATAATTTGATGTACCAAGATCTTGTGACGCGAAATATTAAACATTTGACACGTTCTTACTAGATTAGAATTCAGAAATATTTGCATCATTACAAAAGTGATATAAGTACATGAATCAAATTTTTGTAACACCGTTCATTTTAGATTCATTAAAGGTTCTTACTTTTTTAACTAAAAATAAACTGTTGCGTAAAACATAGGGGAAAAAATTGTTACTAATCTTAATAGTGTCAAAATATTACTTTCTTAATATTGGTCACCAAATTGGAAAAAATATTTAAAGGCGTTTTTGATTTATGACAAATTTTGAATGCAAACTTTTAACACCCTCCCAGTGCGCACACAGTCGTTTTTTCAACGTAACTTTAACGTTAAATAGTATAAAAAAAGCTATTGGTTGAAAATTCAAGGTTGAGATTTTAGTTGATAAGTTATACGTACATGAAATACTATTTTCTAACGTATTTTTCTAGTAATTTTGAAAATTTGATAAAATAATACGTTTTGTTGCAAATAACGTTATTGTTCGCGACTTTGAACTATTATTAATCGTTTTATACGTTTGGTTATTAACACACAAATGCAGTTCAAAAAACTACAAATCATTTTACGTTGAACTTTAGATCAGGAACTAAGTACTTTGTGCCTGAAGGAGCAAAAGTAGCCAAAGTTCCAACCCCGTGTTGTCATATTTCAAAATTCTCTCAAGTTTAAAAGAAACTTCATAATATTTACAATCACACAAATATACATTATATTATACTTATTCGCTCCGTGCCTGATTGCAGCACCAATTCATTTATGTACTAATGGACTTTTTATGCGCATATACTGACAATACAATTTTTCAATTACTGATTCATGATAGTCCCTACTCCTCAATAGTACCCAACGGGTAGGGAGTAAGGGTTGCTATTCTCGCCGTGCGTGACAGCAGCGCCAAATCATTTAGGTACTAATGGACTATTTCTGCGTATACTAACAATACAATTTTTAATAGAATTCGTAATTAAAAAGTATATGTGTTAGTTATAATAAAAGTATATGGATTTGTAAAACAAGTGAAACATTAATTTATTATTATATATTTTTATTGCTTAAACTAAAAACTAAGTATAATCAATAAAAATCAATAATAAAATATAGACAGGGATATTGAAGAACATCGTAAAATGATAATTTATTGTTTATTTAAAACCTTTCAAGTTTCTGATGTCTACTGCTATTTCCAGTATTACTGTTATTATTACAAAAATAAACGTAAAATTTCTTCTTATTGTACAGCTATCCATTTATTTCTTTGATTTAATTTCCACTTTGCTACTAAAATTTTTATAATTACAGTATTTTTTTACCTATTTTTTTGAAAAAAGGTAAAATGTATACGTGTAGGTAGCTGATATGCCAAAATTACAAAATATCTCCCTAAAATGCATGAATTATCCGCAGCTGGTGCTAGTATCGCTTTTGCTTCCCCTACCATGACTTCGCACTGAGCTAATAGGAGACTCATTTTTTAACGATTTTTTTTATAAAACTTGGTATGTTGTCTTTAACTAAAATTTAAAATAAATGCTTTATACGTGGAAAATCGAAAATGTACCCTAGAGTAAAGTGCCCTTATTTACACAGTAACACAATACTAATTTTAATGCAGAGTATTTTTCCTAATACTTATGAAACGATTTATATAAAAAAAAGTTCATTTACTGTTATTTTTTTAATGTATACTGAGTTTTTTCTGTCTATAACAAAATAAATATAGTTTAGTTCTGCATTCAATATGCGAATAATTATGAGATACAAAATCAATAATACAATAAAGTGATATTTTTTCTATGACTAATTAAATGAAATATTTTTATTTTATAAATTATTAGTAAGTCATAAATTATTTTTTCTATTTTTGGCATATATTTGTAATCGCAGTAAGTGTCAAAATTATACAAGAAGAAGGGCAGGTTGACTTATAAAAATAGAATTTGGTTAAACTTACAACCTAGTAATAATATTCTAGTCAAAATTAGAAAAAATATTGTATGTAACACGTTACGAAATGCCGTTTTAGCTAACTCATTTATGTTGCGGGATCTCGCTCTGCTCGTCCCGCAAATAATCACTCGTTACATCAAATAATGCATTTCGTAACTGCTTTTATAAATAGCTATTTTTTTTTTAAATTTCAGCAACCTGTAACGAAAAACAATTTTACTCTATTCTAAACGAAAATATTTACTGATACAAATATAATTTATTATCATAACCAACTTGGGCATTTCCCTTTTTTGTACAAACAAATTAACAATAAATCCACATGTGTTATTCTTCGATATAGGAATTGTTTAGTTGTGGTGTGTTATGGTAGGCCCAAATCAACACCAAATAAACGGGAAGTCAATGTTTTGTTTGCCTAAAATAAATGTTTATATAACTTTGATATTTTGCATTCGAATCGCTAAGGGTTTTCGAGATTTACATATTGCATATGGCCCTATATTTAGGAAGTTATTTCATGAGCTACCGATTTTACAGTTTACAGTGAAGATCGCAAACGTAAATATTATGTTGTGTATATTGCAACTATAAAATATACAACGCGCAGAATAAAGACACAAAATAAAGTACCACAAAAATAATTGAATTTAATTAAAAATACGTATGCGAGTAGTTTTGACCTACTTAGGTCAGCATCAGGCTTGAAAAGGCAATTGAAAAATGCAATTTTTGAAAATGTGGAAATACAGATATTTCCCAATTCCCCTTACGAAATTAAGAAAATTATCACTACATCCCCAGAGTGTAACTAAATCAAAGAAATATTGAAAAAATAAGAACTAAAGAAAATTAATTTCATAAGGGAAATTGGGAATTGATAGTTTATATCGTCAGGATTTAACCAGCCGAGAGTTTGAACACTAAAGGTAGTTTGTCCCATAAAACATGGCCCAATTGTGTTTCCTTTTTAATGTACAAAGTGTTTTTTAAAAAAACCGTGGTCAACTATGGGAAGTTATTGAAAATGCTTGGGAAGAGCTCGTAGATTCATATGACATGCGACATTTAGTTTTGTTCATGTCAACAAGAGTGGAAAGTGTTGTGGCAACCAATGGCTCTTCAATAAATTATTAATAACACTATTCCAGGAGACCTTCATTTTCATTAGAGACCTTCCTTACACATTGTCTGGAAATATATTACATAACAATTTAATTCAAACTATCTATATTACTCCGTTGCTAGGTGATCGCTATGATTGCGATAAATAGTTTTGACATTTCAGAAATAGAAAAATCGCCATTTTTGTAGTTACAAAATTATTTTTTTAGAGAATAAAATGATTTCTTCAGTAAAAATGTATTTCGAGAAACTATTCTTTAAAAATCTACTAATACTACTAACAAGTTAGTGTCCTTAATATCCAGGGGAAGATATGAAATAGTATACCAAGAGTTTATGGACTGACGTCTAAAAAACAATGTACCCAAACTAATTTTCTGAGAATGTGCTTAAGGCATATTTTGGGAAACTTACGGAACAATTGAAACCTTCATTATGTTATGAATTGTCATTTCCATAAAAAATAAAGTGAATATTAAAACGTACCCAAAATTAAAAAGCAGAAATTTTTTTGATGAAATAAGTAAATGAAGCTCTTGATTCACAATAGTATTAACAAAGGTTTGTATCTAAAATAACGTTACTTCAGTTAATTTAGTATTTGCATTTGCAATTTACAATATTTTTAATTAAATGTATTTAATAAATGTTATAGATTATGAAAGCCTTCTCGTTAATATGAATGTATTATTGTGGTTGTAGATAAAGTATAGTACATTACTCAAGTTGTACGATCAATAACATGCTCTTTAAATGACTGCTCACCTTTTCTACTTGCATGTAATTAGCTTCTTACTACTCTTGTTATGTACTATTATATCACATATTTACATCCACAAGTCTTTTTTTAGTCCGATTTTTTTGAAATTTACCAAAAATAACAAAACTTATGGTGGAGAAACCTTCATTTTTTTGTAAACCTTCGAAAAGGTTTTTTTAGGATAATTTTTAAAAGGAATAAACAAAACCCAGACAACATACCAAATCCTAGAGATATCTACAGAATATCTTTTGTGAATATCCAATATATCCA